CTTGAATTGAGATGGGGGCAAATGGCGGTGGATTCCAAGTGTGGGGTAAGTTGCGCGCGCGAAGCCGGTCCAACGGCCAACACGATTGACCGTATCCAGGCTCCTAGCCAGCCAGATAGCATAGGGTATATTGGATAGGTGAATGCTATCCACTTACCTGTAGAGGGCGATAACATCACCGCGGGCGAATTTGGGGCCACCTTTGGAAGCAAGGACCTGGTTGTCGCCCACAAGGCCATAGGCAAACCTGAGCGAGTTATCCCGTAGTTCACCCCTTGTTATCATCTTTCCAGAAGGCGCATCGATGAATGCTGGTAACGAGTCGTCATACGGGCCGTTTACGGGTAGAGCGTGTGTGAAAATGGATTCATCCGGGATGTCGACGTCGGGGTAAATCGACTTGTAAATCTTTACAGGCATGCCGGCACTATTGATGGTGAGTTCTGAGATCAAACAAGAGGAAGGGTGCAATCTTTGAAGGTAAAAATATGGTTGGGTACAAGCCGGTTTTGACAGCCTTGTAGAATAACCGGTCACGCGGCTACAGTTTGCCGGAAGTGCTCGACTACGAAGGTAATTAGCATATCCGAATTGACCATATCTCAATGGATCAGAGCATCTCTCCATTTTATCTCGCTTGGCGCGGGAACCCGGCCCAGAACACATGCAATATTGCATGCAGAGAATGGTCGTGTATTGCCAGACGTTACAAGTTGCATTAAAAACTCCTTCAAAATGTAGAGAATATGAATAGTACTATCTAATGCCATACGGTTGAGTATGGCCGTTTATGCGTGAGACGTATTGAAAAGTAGTTGCATTCCTGCCAAGAGGACGGCTACGGCCAGAACCGCCACCCATCTCGAAGATGGAAGAACGACACGCCGTGAAGACGAGAGTTGGTTGAATTCATGAGCAGGGAGAAGGGTAATGGGTGTAGGTGGTTCAGTCAAAGGTGTCTTGTCAGATGCATCGAGTGCCTCGCCCTCACTAGGGCCCCTGATCAACGTGAAAAGATCCTGATTGAGTTTAAAAACCTGGACTGCTTCCTCCACGAGTAGCTCTATATACCAAGAACATAATGAGAGCCTCGATTAGTCACCCCATCACAATCAGGGAATAACTCTTACCCTTGAGTTCCTCATCGTCACCCACACCAGCGTCCATACCACTTCTATACCAATCCTTTAATTCCTTCATCTCCTTTGGACCCGCCTCCTTTCCGTTCCCATCGGGAAATATGTAAAAGCGCACACCCCCACCTGTGCCTGAGAGGTCATACGCTTTGGCTATTCGCTTGCGAATGATCTGACCGCCAGATAAATCACCGAGATAACGCACATAGGCATGAGCTAGCAGTAACCCAGACGTCGATCTTGACGATGCCAAGGTACTGAGTCTACTCGTATAGTTGAGCAGAGGTGCGGGAGACGATGACTTCAGGTCGATATAAATGGGGTGGAACTGCCAAGCGGTGGTGCCCAAAAGAAAACTGATATCCTGGGATAAAGAATCGGCTCTGGCTAATACTGTGGGCTGATACGTTGGTTTCAGAACTGGGTTGTCGTGGTGTTCATTGAGGCCAGCCTCGAGATTTCTAGTGTGGCGTGATCAGTA